CTGCTACGAGTCGGAAATCAACGAGAACACGACTCATCTCGAGATTGAACCCTTCACGATCCTCGGGGCAGTCGCTGGACTGATCCCTTACCCGCACCACAACCAGTCTCCGCGAAACACGTATCAATGCGCTATGGGTAAGCAAGCTATCGGCGCTATAGCATACAACCAGCTCAACCGGATCGACACGTTGTTGTACCTTATGACGTACCCCCAACAACCGATGGTCAAGACCAAGACGATCGAGTTGGTCGGATACGACAAGCTGCCTGCCGGTCAGAACGCCACGGTCGCGGTCATGTCGTTCAGTGGTTACGATATCGAAGATGCGTTGATTGTCAACCGAGGATCGATTGATCGTGGATTCGGAAGATGTCACGTGTTGAAAAAGCAAGCGATCCCGATCCGGACTTTCAACAACGATACCTCGGAGCGACTGGTCGTCGCGCCAAACGCGGCCGACACGGACAACCGATACATGTGGATCGAGTCGGACGGTATGGCGGCCCCGGGCTCGTGCGTCCAGCACGGGCAGATCATGGTCAACCGAGAGACGCCTGCCGATACTAGAGGCCCTAACGGTGACAATGTCATGTACAAGGCCAGTCCTGTGGTGCACAAGCTCAAGGAACCGATCATGCTCGACAAGGTCATGTTGACCGATTTAGACGGACACCGATTCGTCAAGCTCCTGACCCGGCAGACCCGACGGCCGGAGCTGGGAGACAAGTTTTCCAGTCGTCACGGACAGAAGGGTGTGTGCGGGTTGATCGTCCCGCAAGAGGACATGCCTTTCAACGACCAAGGCATCGTTCCGGACATTATCATGAACCCGCACGGTTTCCCCTCGCGAATGTATGTTGAGGCTGGAACGCGTTGATTGACAGTGCTAACGGTCAGGACGGTCGGGAAGATGATAGAGCTGCTTTCAGGCAAGGCGGGTGTGCTGGCCGGCCAGCTGCAGTACGGCACGGCATTTGGCGGATCCAAGGTCGTCGACATGTCACAGATCTTGATCGACAAGGGATTCAGTTATGCCGGAAAAGACATGTTGACGAGCGGTATCACCGGTCAGGCTCTGGAGTGCTATGTCTACTTTGGACCGATCTACTATCAGAAGCTCAAGGTGGGTTGAAGAGTCGGAAGGGAGTCATCCTCGAGAGTTGGTGCTGACGATTAGCACATGGTGCAGGACAAGATGCACGCGCGTCCGACAGGTCCTCGTGCCAATTTGACGCGACAGCCGACAGAAGGTCGTTCCAAGGATGGAGGTCTGCGTCTCGGAGAGATGGAGCGTGATTGGTGGGTTTGCCAATATCGTCGACTGATGTGTGTGCGCGCGCTTACATCCAGTCTGATCGGATACGGAGCGACCCAGCTGTTGCTTGAGCGTCTGATGATTTCTTCGGATCGGTTCGATACGCAGGTCTGCGAAAAGTGCGGGATGCTCGCGTACAAGGGCTGGTGTAAGGGGTGCGGAAACGGCACGGCCATTTCGAGCATTACGATCCCGTACGCGGCCAAGCTGCTCATTCAGGAGGTGAGTTGGGGTTTGTGCCGGGTACGGAACGGCGAGCTGATGATCAGTTGATGGCGATGAACATTATGCCAAAGCTGTGCTTGGAAGACACGGTCTAGACGGGTGGACATGGAGGGTGGAGTGGCGAATCCGGGATTTTTTGGGACGGTAAGGGGTGAGACCCAGGGGAAGATGGGGTTGGCAAGCTTGGTGGTGCGTTTGATGCGCTGTGGCTTTTTATACGTCCTTGACGAGTATGCACGAGTGATGTTTTGATGGGTTGTTGCGTTGCGAGGGGATCGTTGGTATCTCGCCGGGTATGTGGGTTGGCTGCAGTTGCGGCATGTCTTGGTGGAGCGTTAGTATCATGTCACACAATGCGGGAGAAACAATGCCGGTCAACGGGATAGATGGCGTGGTTAGATATACTGTAGGTCGAGTCGTGCATATGCAGTGCGAGGGACTATAGAGACAGCTACGAAGGTGCGAGACGACTGCTTGTGGTGGTTGTGGTCTAGAGAAGCGACACGATGTGTATTGAGATACCGAAGAAATGCATAGAGATGACAACTATCCATCTGCCTCGTTTCAAAAGCCTCGTCGTCTCACCCGGGCCCCCCGCTAGCGGAACACCACGACGACCCCTTTCCTCCCTTTGCCATCCTTCACCCCGTCCAACCCCAGTATCCGCTCGAGATCCTTCCACGAGACGCCAAAGCGAACCTGAATCTCATCCGAATGATGCGCCCCGTCGCAGAGCTTGACAATCTCCTCAAACAGGCGCGTGGCGATCTGCTCGCCCGCCGCCGCATGGCGCATCTTGAGCGCCGTTCCCGCTCGGAGCATCCCCGTCGGTGTCTTGCGGGACGAGACGATCCCGCTGTCGAGGGCAGATGGACCGGACGTGTACGACCGGGATACGGCGGCCGAGTGGGACGTCCCGTCTTTACGCTCCGACGACGCGATTGGGTAGATGGCCGTCGAAGCGCCGAGTCCGACGCCGCGACGAGGGGATTTCGTGTGTGTGCTCACGCCCAGGCTGGACGGGGTGCGACCGGGCGAGACGCCTAATGACATGTTGGATCCTTGCGATCGGAGGGTGAACGTACTGTCTCCTGGACCCGAACGGGTCAGCTGCGAGTGCGTGTCCGTGTTGGTCCCCGTCCGCGCGGACAGAGCGAGGGACGAATCGACCCGGGTCGACTTGTCGAATTCGACTCGCCGCCTCGCGTGGTCGGCCGATTCAAATGCAGTGGTAAACGTCGGAGACGTCCGTTCGATCATCACGGGCCAGCGGTGCACGCGGCGGAGAAACCCTTTGATGATCCCGAAAGAGACAAAACGGCGAGGATCAATCCCCATGGCCAAGATGTTGTTACGCTCGATCCACTCGTGGACGGTCACTCCGGGCAGGAGCTTTGAATATAGACGTAGGAGCGCAGGCCACGAGGCGCGTGGATACGCCGGACGCGTGACGTACGGCCCGCACTCGGCGATGATCGTGGGGTCCGAGGATAGTCGCGTGATGGCCGGTTTGAGAGTGTACATGTTGCTGTATTGGAAAATGTCAATCTGGCGTCAGTCCTGTCCACATCTGCGTAGCATCGGGCGTAGGAAAAAAAAGGCGAAAACAAGCAAAAGAACCAAGAAAACAAAAGGAAAGAAAAGCAGCTGAAAGCACAGAGCCATCAACACACCATCATGATGACTTGATAATACCTGTCGTCAGCATATGGCCCACCTCAACGGTCGTAGCGCCCCCGTCGACTCACAGCATATGCCTCAACGTCTCCCTCGTCAACGCTTCATCCGCGTCTGACAGCTGAGCTATCCGCGCGACGTGGTTGACCCCGTCGATGTGCTGCGCGACTCTGGCGGCGGTGATATCCCAATTGTCGTCTTTCAGTGCGTTGATGTCGGCCAGCGCCACGGGGACATGCCAGTCCTCGCAGTCCGGCGGATTGGCTAGTGGTCAGCGATACTGAACATGTAAGGTGACAGTTGGGGAACGATGGTGCCGTGGAGAGTCCACGGGCCGTACGTACGGAAAAAGGGAAACAGCTTGAGCTCGAGCGAGTTGAAGCCGTCGAGATTGATCGAGGTCTCAGAGTACGAGTTGAGGTCTTCGAATAGCTGCTCCAGGACTGCGGGAAGAGGGAGGTGGTCTGGGGACGGACTGGACAGATACGCCGAGTCGAGCTGGACATGAGATGGTGTGTTTGACAGGTGTATGTGCTAAGGACAAAATTCGGGTTGGATGAGCTCACCTCGGCGCTACGCAGGATCCTGGCGCATTTCCGGACGACCGGCTCAAACGCCTCCAAGCTGCTCGTCGAGTGGAACACGAAGCATAGGTTCCACATGTACTCGTTACGCTGGTATCTTCCGCCTTCGCCCGTGAGGACACTCGGGAAGCCCATCACCCGGTACTGCTCCTTGGCGCCGTCTGGGTCTTCGCCCTCCCCCGCGGTCAGCAGCGTGACGAGCTTGCCATAGAGCGATTTCTTCGGGATGACATAGTCGGATATAGGGGCAAAGTCTATCAGGGTTGGCGTGTTTGTGCGGGAAGACGACGAGGAGGCGGAGGAGCCAGGCGAGGTCGAGCGAGAGACGGAGAGGGAACGAGGGCGCTGGGATGGGGTGGCAGGGGGTTGTCGGGATCGTGATCGACCGTTTCGGTTGTTGCCGTTGGTATTGTTGTGGTTGTGGTTGTTGCTGTTGGTGGCGTTGTTGGCGCCGAGGGTGGTGGAGATGCTGCTGCTGGTGTTGTTGGCTCTGCCGCGAGGCGAGGTCGACCGCGAGGCAGAGGTGGACCGCGAGCGCGCCTCTTCGGAGAGAGAGGTCGATGTGATGAGGTTCTCTGGCACTTGGTGGAGTACCGTCGGACCGAGCTTTGGGTCAAACGTGGCGTAGAACAGCTAGAGGACATGTTAGTGTATGAATAGGGCTGTTAGGGTGCGAGGTAGACTCACGCCGACGATCTGTGGAAGGAACGATCTGGGGGTCATCAGTCATGCTCTCGCTCTCGCGCTATAGAGGTCTCGGAGTGTATGTGCAGCACACGGTGCGAGGGGAGTAGAAAATTACGCGCGGTAGGTGCATGAGCAAGAGGAACAGGGCAGTCCTCGCTCCCGATGCCAGTAGGGGTTTCCATCTCTCATCCGAAACCACAGGGGTCCGATAACAAAAGGAGGGGTCCTTTGGAAACTCACTCGTCAGAGTACACCATGGCGATAACAGATGCAGATAAGCGGGTAAGGCAGGGAGCAGCGCATCCAAGACGAGGGCGGAAGGGTGTCAGGAGTAGTGCTGTATCCGGAGCATGGGAGGACGGTCGAGGGGTCAGTGAAGGGTATTGCGACGCAACGAAGGGGGGATGCAAAACAACAAGCCGAGAGTGGAGAGCAATGTAGAGTGGAGGCGCGAGATGATACGCCTTTATAACGTATGTTTGAGCATGATCACAACAACATCACAACTCGGGGATGTAGTTTAGTGGTAAAACGGAAAGCCCGCAATAGCAGGATGTGTTCCTTTCAGCCCGGCGTTCGATTCGCCGTATCTCCAATATCTTTTGCCATTCACCATGGTTTCTTTTTGCCCCCTGGTTTTTTGCCTCCGCCCAAGCCTTCGTCTTCTATGACGCGTGCAGTTTAGCCGCCCACCGTACGAGTATAGCTTCGTTGCGATCCCTTTTCACCTTTCACCGTCCCCCTCCATGACTTCCATCGTCGAGCGACGCTCCGCGGCGTGGAGGACTTTCGAGACGGGCTCGGAGTCGCTGGCCACGTTACGGGAGGTTGGGCCCGGAGACATGCGCGATGTGGAGGAAGGGTTCGACAGGAGCAACCTAGCGAGGTTGATGGACTACACGGAGGGAGTGTCGCTGGATCCAATGCGTCGCACCGACTTCGAACTCGCTCTGGATATACTCTCGAACCTCCCTGCTGACTGCGTCGTACGGAAAGCGAGCCTTGAGCGGATCGTCCGATGGACCGTGGTCTCCGCGCAACGAGGGTCGACTCGCCGGTTGCCGTTCCCCGGGGAATTGGCCAGGGAGGTTATGAAGGTGTTGGTGGGTGTTGCGGGGGAGGTCATCGAAAGGAGATTGGGATTCGACACTGCGAAAGAGCTGGCGCAGCCGTATATCACCCTGTTGGATCGAGAGGATCCGCTCGTGATGGCGTTTGAGGGGTGTGACGGGCGACAAGAGGGAGACGAGATCGATTCGTCTTCGTCGCTCTCGGCGGAGCTGTACGACTTGTCACGCGCACTCGACGCGACCGACCCGACTCGCAGGGGTGGTGTGGAACAAGTGGGAGGCGACTCGACGAGGAAGACGACTACGTACACGGTCTCCCCTCAAGATCTGCTTCTGCTCCTTGCGCCCCGACTGCTGGAAACGCTGAAACAAGCGCCGGACCCGCCGCTCAGTATCCCCTCCGACTACAGCAAGCAGCGGGCCGAGGGGGCCGTACAGGCGAACGCGTGGGCGGGGAAGGTGTACTCGGAGCACGAGTTTCGGAACCGAGGGGAAGGGCTCCCGAGCGGTCTGGGCGCGGGTCAGGGGGGTGGTCAGTACGCCCATACGCATGGGTATCCCGCTCGACAGCATGTCCCGCCGGGGATGGGAGGGGGGTTTGGGTACGGCGCGGAAGGGGGTTATGCGGGGTATCCTGCTGGAGGGGGAGGGGGAGGTGGGGGTGGGGGTGGGATGGGTGGAGTGTCCCCCGTGACCCCTGGGTTTGTGGGTCAAGGGTACCCTAGTCAACTGGCTTTGGGGGCCAGTGGTGGGGTGATGCAGCAGCATGGGTATGCACCGGGCGGACGAGCTGCTAGTCGGCATGTGGATGAGTATGCGCGGCGCGTCGTGTGAGGAGGGCGAGGTCTTTGGGGCAAGGCTTGTAGGGTAGAGGTTGGGATGAGGAGATGGGGTGTGGGGACGAGCGCTGGGCGTGGCGTGTTGGCATGGGGCTTCATGTGTGTAACAATAGGGAACGGCTTGATGACAACGAGCACGTAGGGATAGGGGATTGTCATGATTTGTGATGAATATTCTCTCGCCATGGACCGGTGCTTGGTTGTATACCGGTACTGGATAATGCACTCTGTACACGCTTTCAGGCGCCGGAGGGGGACACAGGGCGGTCGCAGGTCGTGGTAGAATGTGACCTGTTGAATACGTCGCGACCGACTTGTCCCGTTCTACCGTTCTACCCTCTCCCGCCGGACCTTCTGACCAATCATCCGGCCGAGCGGCAAGTTTAAATCTTGTCCCGATTCATCTCGGTCGAGATGTGGGACTGGTACGGTGTGGCTTGACATGACCCACGGGTCATGTCATTACGAGGGGACTGATGCGATGCGACAGGATGGATGAGTTATTATGCATGCTAGGCGTAGGTGTGGGATGGGTGTATGTCCACCCCGTGTCTTGCATGGGTACGAGTATGGCGCATAACTCGCCCGTAGCCTATGCAGTATGCGTCGGGAGAATAGCCGGGGATGAGATTTGTATTAGCCGACGTCAAAATGCTTGCGACATTGGGAACGTATTGAGGCTATAGCACATCATCACTCACCCTAGATTTTTTCACCTCTTCCACCCCATTCCCCCCCTTCATCTCTCATCGCTCCACCACTCTATCACTCTCCCCGCTCGCATCGATAGACTCTGTAGACCTCGCAGAGCGTAGACAAGACTCACGCAACAAGCTTTCGCAGCGATCAGATCACCCCCCCTTAGGAGCCTATCCTAGATAAGCACGTTGACGAGACCTCGCTTAGAAACACCCATCCCGCCTGGCCGATTCCCCCGCGTTTCGAACCAATCCCAGACCGACCTGACTCTTGGCTCACCACACACCATCTCTTGGCCCGGCATCGCGACGTAGTTTTCGGACGAGTTTTTTTTGAGCAATACCGACCACCCGCGCACTGGTCTACCTTGCTTGCTCGCTCGCACGTAGACAGACAGACACAGACCCATTAACTGCCCAACCTTCCAGCTCGATGGCATCGAGACGTCTCTCGCGATCTCTCGCGACTCTGCCCACTCCTGCCACCACCTCGTCGACCCTCGCCCCGCCGTACTCCCACCCTCTCCCTTCCGCCTCGGTCTCCGACCCGTCCCCTAGCCTCCGGCCGCCTTATGCACACTCCCTCCCCACCCCGCTGGGTGCCCATACTCGCGGGGCCAAGGGAACGCTCTCCGCGCCCTACCGCTTCTCCCTCGTCGGCACCTCGACCTCGACTCACGAGGCCAGCCGGGCCGAGACGTTCAATGCCTGGGCTAGAGCGCAACTCGCGACAAAGGAAGGAAGAGCGATGATCTGGACAGCGTGGGTCGGGAGTATCATCGAGTTGGAAAAGATCCGGTCGATCGGGGTGAGTCTTTTGTCTTAGACATGCATTCCCAGCTTTGACATAATGCAATATGCTGACATGGGACAGAATCATATCCCCCAAGTCTCCTTCCGCGCCTTGTCGGAGCACCTCGCCTCGGACTCGACCCTCGAAGCGATCAGGCAGACCGGGACGGTCGTCGTTCGCGACGTCGTCGCTGACGCCGAGGCCGAGTCGTGGGGCCGGCACCTGCTCGATACGGTCAACCAACGCCAAGGTCGAGGTGAGTGGACCTGTTTCTCGCCCACGTGGCGGTGCACTGGCTCACCGCCCCAGCCGCGTACTGGCACGAAAGCCTCGTGGCAGCTCGAGCCCACACGAGCGTCCTCTCGGCCAACAACCAAGTCCTCTCGGCCCTCTCGGGCCTGGACGCCGCGGGCGGAGCTCTCATGCAAGCGGATACGGTCCAGACGGGTATTGCCGCTGCTGGATCGCGGACCACCTCGCTCGACTCTCCCTGGCTGGTTGATGACAAGGTGAGCTGTAACGCGAGGATCAGAGATCACTCGCGCCAGAGTCTCGCGCAACACATCCGGTGCTAATCCCCAGTCACTCGCCCCGGCCAGTCCTGTCTTGGCGCACCTCGCGCTCACCCTTTCGTCGCCGGGGCACATTGCGCCTACCATCCACGCCGCGATCTACACCTCCCTCCGACCGCTCTTCACGCCCTCCCGCAGCAAGCTCTCGTTCTATGACACGACCTCGTACCTCGACCCTGCCAACTGGACTCTGGTCGATCCAAACTCCATCCCGACCTACCCCCCAGGCTCGACCCCTTCTTTCCCGCACCTCACTGGGGCGAGCGTCTCCCTTCCCAAGCTCAACGCCGGTGACATCATCTTCCGACACGCCTCGGTCCCCCTGACCAAGGCTGCTGCGGGAGGACAAGGCAACAAGGCGGAAGGTCTCTTCCTCCCCATCACGCCGTTGCCCCGGACCGAGGCGAACATCGCGTATGTGGCGGAACAGCGCGAGGCGTGGGAACGAGGACTCCCTCCCCCGCACGTCAGACTGGACGGCCTTGTTGCGCTGGAGAACCCCGGCTCGGTCGAGCAGATCGGGAGCAGCGGCGGGAAGAGAGCGATGGGGTATTGAGTGGGTGTGTGGGTGCTGAAGGGCCAAGTGGGCCGCGTTTGGGAGTACCAATGACGTTCTCTGTGAGAGCGTCGTTGTCGATGTCTCGTCGGGGGTTGCACCGCCGCGAGCGTCGACAGAGGTGTTCACTTTCACACTGTGGGTTGTAGGGTGATGTGCGTGGAGAGTGAGGAACGGTGGGGAGTGGAATGGTGAAACAAAAGGACCAGAAGGACCAAATGGACAGATAGGTTTGTGTTACGGGTTGTCAGATGTGAGTTGTCGTATGAGTGTTTTTCTCTCGGATTGTATGCATGAGATATATGCCAGCCATGTCTCATATGCTCCCCACCGATTAGCGCGGCTTACTGCGGTATCTCCTGCGCTCTGGCCACTGTGCGAATCAATCCTGGTCGAGGCTCTGCATCGATGGCATGCATCGCAGAGCAGGCTGGAAGTACCGACCTGTCCATCCCGTCACATGGGCGCAACACATCGCAGCAAGTCACAGGCCACAGCAGCACGTCACAGGCCATCACAGCACATTAGGACAAATCACAACGGAAGACAGCACAGCAGACCGCTGCCCTCCCACCCTTCATGCTTAATGATGCATTTAAAGCTCGTCACTCCACACCCAGCTCTCACGCGCCCCGGGCGTTCCTCACAAACGCCTCGACTTTCGCCTTATCCTTCTTCTCCCCGCTCTCGACCCCGCTGCTGACGTCCACGGCGTACACGCCCGGCCCGCCCTCGGCGATGGCCGCAGCGACGTTGTCCGGGTTCAACCCTCCAGCCAGGACGATGGGCAAAGGGTACGCTCCGCCCGTCCCGACCTCGCCCTTGTTGACGATATCCCTCGCGCTTCTCCAGGGGAACGTCTTGCCCTCTCCGCCCGCTCCCGCCGCGTCCAACAGGATCAGGGCGTTGTTCCCCGGTCGGTCGACTTGTCCGCCAGTGATCGTCCCGTCAGACGAGACCTTGAAGCATTTGATGACGGGGACGGGGATGAACCGGGCCATCGACTGCGATTCCTCCCCATGCAGCTGGACGAGGTCGAGGCCGATCTCGTCGACGAGATCGAGAAT